TATATTGAAAATTACGGAGTTGCTAATGGAGTCACATATTGTTATGATGTATATATCTATATATTCTTATATTTTATACCTGCACAATATATAGGAACACACAATACTTTACTGTGAATCAATTCGAATGATTTTTTATACATTTTAACTTATTAAAAAGTTGTAAAATGTATAATTTTTACACCTGTGACCAGGATGGGTGATTTGAATCAAAAATCAAAATCATAATCTTTTTGAAATGAATTTTAAAAGGGATTTTGATTTAAATCAGTTTTGTATGGGGGTTTTTTTGGATTTTGATTTAAATCTCTTGTTTGAAAGATTTTATTGGGATTTTAAAATCACTCCATGCAAAATTTTTGTATTCAATTTCTCAAATTATTTTTCAAATCAACAGTTTTCAGTTGCAGTTCCTAATAAGGAGGAATGTAGTTGATACTTTTTTGGCCAGAATCTTGCAACTGGATCTTTTAGATTCAAACATTTCTTAAAGAAAGTTTACAGCAGCCAATGGTTTCATGCTGTTTGACTTAAACGAAATCCTTTTCATGATTTTTAATTTTCTGTGCCTTGCTGCTTACACATAAATAACTGGACTTCATCAAGCATGCCTGGATCTTACTGCATAGGAACTGCAACTAAAAACTGTTGATTTGAAAAATAATTTGAGAAATTGAATACAAAAATTTTGCATGGAGGGATTTTAAAATCCCAATAAAAACTTTCAAACAAGAGATTTAAATCAAAATTCAAAAAAATCCCTTTGAAAAATCATTGCAAAAAGGTTTTGATTTTTGATTTAAATCACCCACCCTGTATTTCCATTGTTTCGTTCTTTAAATTCAAACAAATAAATTTTTAATATTAAGTTAATATTTCTTCTTTAATAACCTATGAAAAACATTTTTAAATGTTCCATACAATTATTTCATCCCTACAATCCTTATATGGAAAGGATTGTAAGGATTACAATCCCTACAATCTTTTCCATATAAGGATTGTAAGGATTACAATCCCTACAATCCTTCTCATATAAAGATTGTAAGGATTGTAAGGATTGTACAATCTTTACAATCCTTCCATATGGATTGTGAAGAATTGTACAATCTTTTACAATTCTGTTGGAGTGTCTGACCCTTGATTCTTATAACTGTCATGTTATGCTCAGAGCCGTTTACTTAACGCACAAGTCAGAGTCGTTGTAAGATGACAGCTTTGAAAATAAAAACAGTAAGTAACACATCATCGATAAGATGCATGGACAATTCAAACCTAATTGCTGCTTGGAATACTAAGTACCAAGTGCGATTGATACTAAGAAGTTATATTTTAGGATTCTATTGGTTATCCTCTCATTAAACCTTATACTGTCGTCTGAAAGACAGGAGTACACAATAATTCTTCTTCTAGGCTACACTTAAGTGACTCCTTAGCTCATGAAACCTTTAAACTGCGCTTTAATCATCTCTTAAACTTAAATATCCATCAATAATAAAATTAACACATAATAAATGATGATAAATTCCATTCAAGAGAAGTCTGAACTACCTGTTCCGTTTC